GGCTTAAATAGAGAAAAGTTCAAGGCCCAAGAATAACTAGTGCTAGCATTTTGGCAGTAAATTTAAGCCAGCATCGAGTTGCTCCCAATGGGTCCCATGGATTGCACGCGCCAACGGGCTCGTGGGCCCGGACGTGCCATAATGGTATCAGAGCAGTTGTCAGCCGGAAGTGCGGAGCTAAGTACTATACAGGGCTAAGTACTACACCGCGTGGATACAGTGGGAGCTACCTCTAGAGCCCGTAGGAGCTACCTCTAGAGCCTGTAGGATCTACCTCTAGAGTCCACATCGCTAGAAGTGACACTAGAATATGCTAACTATCATGTCATGATGACAAGGATGTCGTCTTTGTAAGGTGGGGTGATCGTGACACTCTCACTTTAGTCTCACATAGACTAGTATGAAGAAATATTAGTGGATTAAATAGAGAAAAGTTCAACGCCCAAGAACAACTAGTACTAGTATTTTGGTAGTGGATTTAAGCCAACATCAAGTTTCTCTTAGTAGATCCCATGGCTTGCACATGCCAACGGGTCCGTGGGCCCGGGGCGTGACAGTCTTCAAGCTACCTTGGCAGTAGAGGCCGAGCACCTTTACATTCTGGCTGCCTCCCAACTTGTGGTACACCAGGTAAATGGAGAATATGCGGCCAAAGGCTCAAGAATAGTCCTGTATTTGAAGGCGATCAAGGAGCTACTGACCAACTTTGCAGATTTCAAAATTGCCCAAGTCCTCCACGCTATCAATGCTTAGGCAAACACCTTATCCAAACTCGGGTCGAACAACTCAGGAAGCCAAATAGGACATATATACACAGATACCCTCAAGCCTCCAAGCATCATGGAGACCCCTTCATTAATCTTGCAGACCGAGACGTCTACAGAACAATATTGGAAAGATCTAATCATCCAATATCTAACAAGGGGGACCTCACCAGTGAATGCCACTTAAGTTAGGAGTTTATGTAAGGACCATGAATTGTGATACTAGTTAAATAATTTTTTTGATATTTTAAATATTAAATTATTATTAAAAAAAAGAGTATTTATATTTTTTCGGTTTTCTAGAATATACTATGATTTAAAAATCTAGTTTTATATTTATTTTAATGGTTTTGTTAATTATAAATTTGATAGTTGCGGTGAATATTTTTGGGTTGTTATTTGGTCATTGATATTATTAATGATCTTGTTATTATTAATGTACACCTGAGCTTAATACATTAGCGTATTTATAAACATATACATATTTGGTTGTTAATATTTTGTTAATGTTATTATTCGTTTAATTACTACTATAATGGTTATTTTTATTATTATGTATATAGTAATATATCTTCATAACCATATTATCTCTCTCAAATATCTCTTCCGTAATCAAATATCTTTCCAATCTTTTTTTCAAATCCCATAATATCCCTCTCCCCATAAATCACGTGCATCATTTTCTCTCTCCAATCTTTTTCAAAATTCCATAATATTTTTCCCCATAATCACGTTATTCACCCCACTTCCTTATTTTCTTCCTTGATTCCCGCACCACTATCCCATACCCTTTTTCTCTCTCTAATAATTCATTATCTCTCTCCTCTTCAAAGAAACCCACCCCAGACCCCAACTCCCCAGCTCTCTCTCGTTCTCCTCTCCTTTCCCTCTTCATCTTTTCTTTCTCTTCCAAGCTCCGACCAACCACCCACAGGCAACCACTGCTCCCCGCGTGCCGCTGCCTCAGCAACCCGTCCCGAGCTCCCTCCCCCAACACAACCTCCTCCTCGTTAATTCTCCTCAACATCCAACTTGCCATTTGTTCCCCTAAGACTCCCTGACACCGACCTCGACCGTCACCAACTACCTTGTCCGCAGCGCCAGCTTGGCAATGCCACCTTGCACCTTGCTCCATCGAATCACTGACCGCCAGCTTACCATAAGTCGACCATCGCTCCACACTTCCTTCTTCGTCGAGCCAACCCCTGCCTCCAGCCACATCTGCCCCGGCTACCGTCGTTGACTTCGTGGCAGACTAGCCGTTGCCCGCCACCTCAGCAGGCCGTGCCATGGCCTTGCCACTCTAGACCGCACAGCCTCGCCTACGCCAACCTTCCTCGTGCGTCGACAGTCCAGCACCCCTCCTCTGCCACATTGGGAATGTCCGTTCCGGCCATCAATCCCGCAGCAAGCCAGCCCCCCAGCCGCGGCCCGCGGCGCTTACGACGCCTCCGTTCCGCCTGCACTTAAGCACCATTCCGGCCTCATTCCCTCCACAACACGCAGCAGCCTAGTCTTAAACCTCAGACCGCGCATGCCTCCTCTATGCAGTCAACCTCACCCGCAACCCCTAAGCGGCCAGCCCACTGCCTCTCACCCGAACAGACCAACATCACGTCCGAGGCCAGCCTCCTCAAATCTTCATCTCAACGCCCGACGTCGCCCTCAATAATTCAACGATTATTTTTTTGTTGGATTTTTTTTTTTTTTTTTTTTTTTTTTTTTTTTTTTTTTTTTTTTTTTTTTTTTTTTTTTTTTTGTTTTTTGTCGCGCCTTCGCCAAGCCGCTCAGCCGACGCCCACCTGAGTTTTTCGCCGGGGAGCCGACAAAACCCCTGTTTGTTTTGGCTTTCGAACGGCTCCTCAAGACACCGTCCGAACCCTCAGCTCCCGAGCTCGACCAGCGACCCGCAGCCTTGGGCCCGACCGCGCTGCTGATGAGCCGCCCCCTCGCACGTCAGCGTCGATCCGTGCGACGAAACCCCGAGGCAAGATCCCGCTTGCTTAGATTTGAATTTTTCTATTTATTATGAATTATCTGTAATTTTAGATCTGTGATATAATTATCTGCGTGGGTTTGTTTGATGAATAATATTAGATAAATCGTAATTATATGATAAATAGTATTATCAGAATAATTATGATAAATTAAAAGAATTTATTTTGATAGTAGAATCATTTTTGGATAATTATAATAATTAAAAAGAATTTATTTGGGAAAAAGAATCATTTTAGAATAATTATAAATTTTTTTAGAAATTATCTTGTGGAAGAAATTATTTTAGAATGATAAATATTTTTAAAAAGAAATTATTTTAGGAAAATAGGCTATTTTGAATTAATAAGAATTTATCTTATAAAAAGATTATTTTTGAATTTATGAATTTATTATTTTAAAAAATTATTTTTAGAACTATTATATTGAGAAAAGAATTTATTTTAGAAAAAAAAAGAATTATTTTGAAGTAAATAGATTGTTATTTCAAAAGATTATTTTAGAAGAATTTTATGATTCAAATTCTTAATTTTGATTATCTGATATGCTATGATATTATTATACCTGATTAGCTGTATTGATTGTTCATTGTTGTGATTGAGAATCGTTAGGAGTTTATGACTATAGTGACCTGTGTGACATGAATAAGACCTAGAGACTTGTGTGTTGTTGACTTAGCAAAACGAGAAGAGTTAGGGTGGAAAAGTCCATGTTCATGTGATCGGATATAGCTGTTGATGTATTTTTCGGGCTCGCACCGGTGAAGTTTGTGTAGTCACCGGGGTGGGTCTGAGGAGTTGTGATATGTGATTGTTGATTATTTCCAAGCTCGCGCCGGTGAAGTTTGTGTAGTCACCGGGGTGAGTCTGATGAGTTGAGATATTTGTGTATTCCGGGCTCGTGCCGGTGAAGTTTGTGTAGTCACCGGGGTGGGTCTGAGGAGTTGGGATATTTGTGATTGCGATCTATCAGTTATCCGATAATATGAGCCAGTGACCTGTTGTAGGATGACTAGTTACATGACTTTGTGAGACGTAGATCAGTTGTATTTCTTTCCATACATAGATCGGGGTTAATATTTAATTATTTACAATTCGAGACATATGGTATATACATGAGGGTTTCCTTGTTTGGATTATTTCGCTCGACGTACTACGTCTTGAGTTGTAGATTTTTAAGTATTAATTCCATCTATTATATAACCTTGTTGCTTGGATGGTTTCTTATCGCTACCTGCATGATCTTGTTACTTGGTTGATTTTTGGATTCTTCTGATTATTAGTATTCCAGTTGTATGCCTCTATCGTTATTACTATCATCACATGTTCTATTTCTATTTCTGTTATCGCATTGACCACGCATATATTATCAATACTGTTATTGTATTTGTTTCTGCCTTGGGGGATCTTGCCGTGTGTTATACACGCTGACGTACTCCTATTTTCTGGGTGTACGTCAGATTTAGGAGACGGACAACCTCAGTTCGGGATCGTACATGAGCCAGATGATTCTTAGCAGGGGTGCCTTGCAGAAGGAGTAGAAGAACCAGCTGAAGCGTAGTAGTTTTCTTCCGTAGTAGTAGTTGGACATTAAAACTCTTTTACCGTACTTTTCTTTAGTTGATGATGGATTTAGTAGTTTAACAATACTTTCTTTATGGACTATGTATTTCTTATTTCCTAGTTGGACTATTTTGTAATAAGGGTATGTTGGACCCATTATTTCCTAGTTGGACTATTTTGTAATAAGGGTATGTTGGACCCATATTTTATGTCTGGGATGATTTATTGTTGATGATATGTCTATTCCTTATTCTGAGTTGTCTTTATATTCTTGCTATTGTGATCGGGGACCTGTGACTTTGCATTGTATTTATTTCTAGACGCTTAGCGTATTGGATTGAGAAGAAAAGAAAAAGAAAAAAAATGATAGTGTATATTTCTTCTCAATCTAATACGTCGCGGGCTTGTTCATGTTTCGATTCCTGGGTATTTTGGGAAGCGGGGCGTGACAGGTTTTAGTGGTGGCCCATGCAGGTCACGGTCCCGATCACGGTCCCGAGTCCTCACTAGTAAGAATATAGTAGACAATTTAGATACATATCATATTTCATCCGTAAGACTACAATTAAGTTCTTATACTATTATTTTGATAATTATATTTTAGTTCCTATTTTTTCAATATATTATTTTAATTTTAACCTTGGTTATCCTCTTGATCCTCGTTTTTTTCTTTAGAACCATGGCGATTACGCGTGGTAATGGTAGCCAGCCCAGTAGCGGTGCCCCACCACCTGAAGTGGAACCGCACCAGCTTTTGGAGATGATTCATGGATTGGTGGCGAATCAGCAGTTCTTGGCTTGGCATTTGCAGCGGGAGCCTCATCATCAGCCTCCACATCGTCCAGAGTCTAGTGTTAGGGAGTTTCGGTATATGCGGCCCCCTTCTTTCTCTGGTGCTGAAGGACCCCTAGTAGTGGAGGAATTCTTGAAGGTCACTGAGACTATTCTCACGATGACCTGTATTGCCCCTGCTGAATGGGTGGACCTTATGGATATTCAGCTTATCGACACCGCTCGGATTTGGTGGACTGCAGAGAAGACTCATCTGGAGAGGCCCATCCTATGGGAGACATTCACCGAGCGCTTCAACAGGAAATATTTTCCTCAGTCAGCTCGGGATGAACTCCTACGTAGATTTGTTGAGCTTAAGCAAGGAGGTAGATCCATTGATGAGTATGAGGCCGAGTTTTCTTCCTTGAACCGATATGCTCCTCATCTTGTTACAGACCCCACTATCAGGAGGCATCAGTTCCAGAAGGGTCTGCACAAGTATATTAGATTGGCTCTAGCTGGTAGAGCACTTGCGACCCACGACGTCGTGTTGGATGCAGCACGCGAGATCGAGAGCATTCAGAAGGAGCCTGAAGACCCACATATGATCCAGAGCAGAACACCAGCAGCTCCGACCCGAGATGATGAGCGTCCACCTTCGAGGCAGCAGTAGAATCCACAGCGGCAGCAGTTTTCTCAACGCCAGCAACTTCCTCATGTGCATCCCTATCAACGCCCAGGAGTGCACACTCACGACCGGCCCTCGGTGCAGTGTTCCTATTGTAGCTACCCTGGGCATACTCAGCAGGAGTGCCCCAGGCGTCTTCGTTTGTGCTACAACTGTGGGTCCCCCGATCATGTCAACCGGGAATGTCTGCAGCGACAGCAGGCCAGCTTACCCCCACCTCCAGTTTGAGCAGCTCTTCCAGCTCCACCTCGATCAGACTCAGCAGCTCCAGCTCAGCAAGAACCCAACCCTCGAGCAGTCCCTCTCCCTCCACAGCAGCAGATTTATCAGGAAGCACAAAGGCAGCAACCACCACGTCAGACATTCATGATGATGGCCGTGGAAGCTAAGGAGAACAACCAAGTTATCACCGGTAAGAATAGTTTATTCTTAATTTTATTTGCATATGAACTTCCTTATTTCACATTGCCTTATGATATTATGATAGGATTTATTTATGAGTGCTAGTTTAGATGTATTTTCCTTCTACACTAGACTAGATAAGGTTCTTGTTTCTTCCGTTATTGCCTTATCACTCTTCGACTCTGGAGCCTCACATTGTTTCTTGTCTCGTCGATTTGCGAGTACCCACTCTCGTTCCATATCCTTGTTCTTGGGTTCTTTTAATTCCGAGGGAGGAATTTGTTTTAAGGGGGGTAGAATGTAAGGACCATGAATTGTGATACTAGTTAAATAATTTTTCTGGTATTTTAAATATTAAATTATTATTAAAAAAAGAGTATTTATATTTTTTTGGTTTTCTAGAATATACTATGATTTAAAAATCTAGTTTTATATTTATTTTAATGGTTTTGTTAATTATAAATTTGATAGTTGCGGTGAATATTTTTAGGTTGTTATTTGGTCATTGATATTATTAATGATCTTGTTATTATTAATGTAAACCTGAGCTTAATACATTAGCGTATTTATAAACATATACATATTTCGTTGTTAATATTTTGTTAATGTTATTATACGTTTAATTACTACTATAATGGTTATTTTTATTATTATGTATATAGTAATATATCTTCATAACCATATTATCTCTCTCAAATATCTCTTCCGTAATCAAATATCTTTCCAATCTTTTTTCAAATCCCATAATATCCCTCTCCCCATAAATCACGTGCATCATTTTCTCTCTCCAATCTTTTTCAAAATTCCATAATATTTTTCCCCATAATCACGTTATTCACCCCACTTCCTTATTTTCTTCCTTGATTCCCGCACCATTATACCATACCCTCTTTCTCTCTCCAATAATTCATTATCTCTCTCCTCTTCAAAGAAACCCACCCCAGACTCCAACTCCCCAGCTCTCTCTCGTTCTCCTCTCCTTTCCCTCTTCATCTTTTCTTTCTCTTCCAAGCTCCGACCAACCACCCACCCAACCCGACGGGCCGATGATCAGCCCCCTCCAACCACCGCCAAGCTCCTCCCCCCACAACTCCTCTGCCTCTCCTCAAATCACGCTTTCCCTGATTAGAGCCCTGCAACCGACCCACTCGTCCACAACGCCGCTGGAGCGCGCGCGCTCCGTCGAAGCCACCAGCACGTTGACCTCGCTCCACCCCGTTCTCATCGACGCCAACGTGCCTCTAGCCGCATCCACCTCCGCCTGCCGCTGGATGCTGCAGACAGCCTTCCTGTACGTCTGCAGCAGGCCGGCAGCCTTGCAACCGCCAGCCTCACTCTGCCACCCTTCCTCGTCCGCTGTTGATCACCCCGCCACCTCCGCCAGCTGTCGGCCATCATCTCCGCAGCAGCCAGCCCGCCAGCCCGCCGCGCTTACCCCTCCTCTCGCCTTGCACCACGCTCCGACCTCTCCTCTCCAACCACACACAGCCCCGCTCCGCCGAACCCTCCTCTCAGCACCTCGGACTCCAAACCCCTGACCGCGGCCACCGACTCCTCTCCACCCGAAAACCACCAAGCAATCACTCCGACGTCGCCTCCTCAATATCTCGCACCAAGCACCCAACATCGCCCTCATGACACGTCCGCCTCGCCAACCGCTCAGTCCAGATGCCTGAGTCACACCAGCCGAGCAGACAAACCTGTTCGTTGCTGTCGAACCTGCCTCAAGATCCGCGCCGAACCCTCAGCCCCGAGCTCGACAGCGACCGCCGCAGCCTTGCGCCGACCGCCGGTTGCTGATGAGCCACCCCCTCGCACGTCAGCGTCGATCCGTGCGACGAAACCCCGAGGCAAGATCCCGCTTTCTCAGATTTGAAATTTTCTATTTATTATGAATTATCTGTAATTTTAGATCTGTGATATAGTTATCTGCGTGGGTTTGTTTGATGAATAATATTAGATAAATCGTAATTATGTGATAAATAGTATTATTAGAATAATTATGATAAATTAAAAGAATTTATTTTAACAGTAGAATCATTTTTGGATAATTATAATAATTAAAAAGAATTTATTTGGGAAAAAGAATCATTTTAATAATTATAAAATTTTTTAAAAATTATCTTGTGGAAGAAATTATTTTAGAATGATAAATATTTTTAAAAAGAAATTATTTTGGGAAAATAGGCTATTTTGAATTAATGGGAATTTATCTTATAAAAAGATTATTTTTGAATTTATGAATTTATTATTTTAAAAGATTATTTTTAGAATTATTATAATGAGAAAAGAATTTATTTTAGAAAAAAAAGAATTATTTTGAAGTAAATAGATTGTTATTTCAAAAGATTATTTTAGAACAATTTTATGATTCAAATTCTTAATTTTGATTATCTGATATGCTATGATATTATTGTACCTGATTAGCTTTATTGATTGTTCATTGTTGTGATTGAGAATCGTTAGGAGTTTATGACTATAGTGACCTATGTGACATGAATAAGACCTAGAGACTTATGTGTTGTTGACTTAGCAAAACGAGAAAAGTTGGGGTGGGAAAGTCCATGTTCATGTGATCGGATATAGCAGTTGATGTATTTTTCGGGCTCGCGCAGGTGAAGTTTGTGTAGTCACCGGGGTGGGTCCGAGGAGTTGTGATATGTGATTGTTGATTATTTCCAGGCTCGCACCGGTAAAGTTTGTGTAGTCACCGGGGTGGGTCTGATGAGTTGAGATATTTGTGTATTCCGGGCTCGCGCCGGTGAAGTTTGTGTAGTCACCGGGGTGGGTCTGAGGAGTTGGGATATTTGTGATTGCGATCTATCAGTTATCCGATAATATGAGCCAGTGACCTGTTGTAGGATGACTAGTTACATGACTTAGATTGTTGGCTAAGTAAGATTCTTGTGAGACGTAGATCAGTTGTATTTCTTTCCATACATAGATCGGGGTTAATATTTAATTATTTACAATTCGAGAGATATGGTATATACATGAGGGTTTCCTTGTTTGGATTATTTTGCTCGACGTACTACGTCTCGAGTTGTAGATTTTTAAGTATTAATTCCATCTATTGTATAACCTTGTTGCTTGGATGGTTTCTGATCGCTACCTACATGATCTTGTTACTTGGTTGATTTTTGGATTCTTCTGATTATTAGTATTCCAGTTGTATGCCTCTATCGTTATTACTATCATCACATGTTCTATTTCTATTTCTGTTATCGCATTGACCACGCATATATTATCAATATTGTTATTGTATTTGTTTCTGCCTTGGGGGATCTTGCCGTGTGTTATACACGCTGACATACTCCTATTTTCTGGGTGTACGTCAGATTTAGGAGACGGACAACCTCAGTTTGGGATCGTACAGGAGCCAGATGATTCTTAGCAGGGGTGCCTTGCAGAAGGAGTAGAAGAACCAACTGAAGCATAGTAGTTTTCTTCCGTAGTAGTAGTTGGACATTAAAACTCTTTTACCGTACTTTTCTTTAGTTGATGATGGATTTAGTAGTTTAACAGTACTTTCTTTATGAACTATGTATTTCTTATTTCCTAGTTGGATGATTTTGTAATAAGGGTATGTTAGACCCATATTTTATATCTGGGATGATTTACTGTTGATGATATGTCTATTCCTTATTCTGAGTTGTCTTTATATTCTTGCTATTGTGATCGGGGACCTGTGACTTCGCATTGTATTTATTTCTAGATGCTTAGCGTATTGGATTGAGAAAAAAAGAAAAAGAAAAAAAATGATAGTGTATATTTCTTCTCAATCTAATACGTCGCGGGCTTGTTCACGTTCCGATTCCCGGGTATTTTGGGAAGCGGGGCGTGACAGGTTACAAAGGAATGCTTACCGATATCTCATGCTCAATAATCAACTTTATTGAATGTCATACTCCAGCAGTGGTGTAGGCCTTATCTCTGATGTCTTCGGCTAGCAGAGGCTAGTTATGTGTTTAGAGAAATTCATGAAAGGACTTGCAGGAATCATCCAGGGGCCAGAACTCTCGCCCAGAAGGCTTTCAACAAGGGTAGTATTGACCTATCATTCTAGCCCAGTCGAAGAGACTTGTTTCTTTGTGTCGAAGATGCCAATTCTTCTCGAGCATCCTGAGAGCAGCCACAGAGCTCACCTCCATCCTGAGTCCAATTCCGTTTCCTCAATGGGGATTAGATTTATTGGGCACTCTCCCGATAGCCTCTAGGTAGCAAAAGTTCCTGATTGTTGCAATCGACTACTTCACCAAGTGAATCGAGGCTGAGCCTTTGGCCAAAATTAGCGAGAGCAACATCATGAATTTTGCATAGAGATCTATTGTCTGTCGATTTAGAGATCCCCTCTCTTTCATCACGGACAATGGCACTTAGTTCGACAGCGGAGGCTTTTGGAGCTTTTGTGAAGAATGTAACACATTCTCCTCAAGTTCACATCAGTCGCCCACCCGAAATGTAATAGGCTTGCAGAAGCCACCAACAAATGCATCCTTCAAGCTCTAAGGAAGAAGGTGAACAAGGTGGCTGGAAATTAGGTTGAAGATATGCCTTTAATCTTGTGGTCTTACCGCACGACTCATAAAAACTCAACGGGCAAAACTCCATTCAAAGTAGCTTATGGAGCTGAAGCAGTCACCCCAGTCGAAGTCTGACTGCAACATTTTGACGAAGATCTCAATTTTGAAGGATTGCAAATTGGGCTCGACCTCATCAACAAAGTCTAGGAAGAAGCTCTCTGATCCATAGTTATCAATCAACAGCGCATTGCTCAGCACTACAACAGCAAGATTAGACCTTAGAGATTCAGCCTCAGTGATCTTTTCCTTTGGAAAGCTACTTTTGACAGAGACACTAGGTGTGATAAATTGGCCTACAATTGGAAAGGACCTTATACATTCATCGAAGAAGTCCACCCAGACACTTATCGATTGAGGAGCTCCGATGGAAGGATCTTGAAACATCATTGGAACATCGAACACCTCAAGAAATATTTACAAGATATTTATTTGTACATGTTCCTTGTGATATAATTTTTTTTGAGTTTTAACTCCATTTTGCTGTACTCTAGCAGTATCATAACTTCTCTCAAGAATACTAGGCCGAGGCGCTACAACATAGCCGACTCATCTAAAGACCTTGGCATCAACGTAAGACTAAGACATATACCCTAAGACCTTGATCTCATTATGAATAAACCTAAGGCATGAGGCCCGGTCGAGTAAACTCACAACAAAAGACCTTGGTACCTTTTCAGTGTAAAACCAAGGCACATCATCAACTCGGTCGGCTCCGACATAAAGACCTTCACACACACCTAAGCCCAAGGCACTCTACCTAAGACCTTGATATCACACAAGTAAAACCAAGGCACGCCATCAATAAAAGACCTTAGCATCACATAAGTAAAACTAAGGCACACCATCGACAAAAGACCTTGGTACCCTATCGGGATAAAACCAAGGTAAACTCTCAATCGGCTTCGACTCTAATGACCTTGGCATTAATTACTTGAGTAAAACCAAGATGCTCTATCACCTCCAAATAGAGTTTGAGGCCAAATCACAACACGCTCTACTCAGGCTAGAGTCGCCTCAACTCAAAGAGCCGAATCATTTCAAACAACTAATCCCCTCAATAAAGAAAAACTATCAAGAAATACACATGAACAAGATAACACACAAGCATACGCAAATGGGAAGGGCAAAAAATTCAAATTTTCATTCATATTCCATGAAACTTACATCATTGTTTACATTCATATTTACAAAAAAAGAAGGAATAATGATAAATTACATATATACAATAGACCCTCATGAAGCTTGGTTCGGGTCAAGAGTCAGACTTGGGAGAGAAGTACTCAACTTAGGAGCAGGGGTCGGCTAAACAACAGTAGGAGCAGTCTCGCCTTGGTCGTCTCCCAACTCATCTACTTCGTCCCCACCCCAACATCTAACACTATTCCCCCTACCCTCATCTCTATGTCCTTCAAAATGTCGAGACAGTTAGAGACACATGAGGGGTAGTAAATACGGTCTGGGGAAGGTCGATATTCAGGGGGGGAATAAATCTAGATGATAGTCAAAACCTGCCTTACAGGCTAACGAACTTCCACTTTAATTAGAGGACCAGTGCGGTACTTCTCCACAATCTTTGCCCTTTAAGTCTCCGACTCTAACATAGTGAGGCAAGCTTCTAGAGATCAGATGGTATCTAAAGATGCCTTGTGGGAAGACCACTCCTCCTTAAGGTCGAGCTTTAGATTATCAGTAGCCAAGCGATCAGATAGAGTGCATTCCTAAGCATCCAGTCTTACACGCTTCTTACCATTGACCTCTTCAACAAAATATTTGATTTGACCATCCCACTCGATGTTGTGCTGGTAATGGCTAATCTTCTCCTTTAGCTTGGCAATAATGGTTGATTACTTGGTACGATGCCCGTGAAGCCCTTGGATCATTCTATCCCTTGTCTCCAACTCTCGACGCCATTTTCCCTCACTCCAGCTCTAAACGTCCTGCTCAACCTCCAGAGCGGCGACTTTCATCTTGGTCACTTCCCTAACCATTCTCTCATCCTCTAGCGCCTTCTCAAAGTTAGCACGGAGTCTCTGCATGTAGTCGAGTCAAGTGAACAGTTCTTGCTTAATGAGAGCCCCCGAAGTAAATAACTCTTCAGAGCTTGGTGGAGGCCAACGCTGGCATCACCTCCAGGATGACCTCTGAAAGGCCCTAGAGGGGGGGGGGGTGAATAGGGTTTATAGATGAATAAAATGCAATTAAAAGTAATTCCAACAAACCACACACAAAATGAAACACAATGACAATAAAAAGAGAGTAGAGATAGAGATAGTTAGCCAATTAATGACGCGCGATGTGTTCATGAGGTTCGGTCCGCTGATCTATGTCCCCACTCCCCACTCTCGAGGAGAAATCCACTACACACCACGTTTGGAAGCCAGAACTTCTTCTACACAACGATCTCCTCCGAAATCTCACAACCACACAGTAGATCTCCACGAGATCTAGCTCACAACAGTCACAATTCGAAGAAAAACTCTCTCTTTACAGAAGCCCTATTGCAAGAGGAGAGATTGCAATTGAAGCTTGGGATGTGAACTTAAAAATAGTGAAAGCAAATGAAAGTTGAAGCTCTTTTGAAAACAATAAACTTAAACTCAAGTAACTTGCAATGAAAGCTTGGTGCTGAGGTAGATGGGGTTGATAGGTATTTATAATGAGAGAAAACTACAGCCAAAACCCCAAGAACCAGATAGAATCCCGAGAAAATCCGATTTCTAAAACAGAACAAATATAGCCGTTACAGCACCCATCAGTGGACTGACGGGAAGCATCAGTCGACTGATGAGCTGAACGTTGTATACGATATTCAGCTCATCAGTCGACTGACAATCTCATCAGTCGACTGGTCAGTCGACCGAAACAGAACAGAGAGCAAAAAGATGATTCCAAACACTTTCATCAGTCGACACATCGGTCGACTGACTTCATCAGTCAACTGGTCAGTCGATTGATAACATGTTATCCGCCTGAATCGATTTCGAAATTGAATTTCAGTGCTCTATAAAAAATAGTAAATAAATTCCAAAAAATGTGAAACTTTGTAAACAGTTTATAAACATTTTGATAAACTTGTTTGAAAATGAATTTTGTAAAAAGGTCCTCGTATTTGTGAAAATCATCAATTTAGCAATAGTGTCAAAATACGAGTTTTGAAAATGTGCAAGTGTGTTATCCCATGAGCTTCAAATGTAATCAATAAACTTCTTGCCTACATTCTAGCACTAGAGAGAAAATAAAAGTAGCAAATATCTCTCACATAGAAATACATTTCTTGAGTCTTGATATTGCTTTTGAGTTGATGAAGCTTCTTATTGCATATGGTGTTCTTGATAAACATTGCTTCATCACTTTGCCTCCACCTCCTCTAGATATCGTCGTTGTAGCTAATATTCCATCCAATCATCCATCTATGGTGCTAATGAATTGTAATCTACAATATAGCTCAATGCACAATTAGCACCAATAATGGTGTTTGTAAATCATCATCAAAATAAATGACCTAACAATCTCCCCCATTTTGATGATGACAAACAACCATTATACGAGCGCAAATAAAATAGATTATTTGGCTTATAGATAGTTGCTCTCCCTATCTATAAGGCTCCCCCTTTCTGTGTGCACAAATGAGGAGATTTCTCTACCCTTTTGTCACCATAAAAAATGGGATAATGAAAGCATAAAGACACATACTAAAAAATCACACAATGCACCTCAAGTGTTGTCCTACCCGTGTCTCCCTCAAGTGTTAGGAATTACAACCTACCACTAGGTATTACCACCTACCCCACTCCTCTTGGGACGACCTTGGTCTCTCACCTTTACACTCCTCTTGGTAAATATGTGAGCTTGAGCATGATATGACATTGAAGGAACAAGAAAAAAATTTGGATATGACAATATAAGAGCAAGGAAACCAAGAAAACAAAATGGCAAAAAGAAATTATTTTCAAAGATTGCACATGCCCAATTCATTCCTAATGCGGCAAAAATCAACTTCACAAAGGGGTTTGGTAAAGAT